TGGATCAAGACTGACGAAGGCGAAAGAGTGAGGTCGACGAATTGCACAGCTCTTCCTTACTTAAATCCAAGTCCTTGCGCAAGTCACTTTCATCCAACTGGTCATCATTACTCTTGTTGGACCAACGTCATCGTTATCTGGGGCACCTAAGACAACGACTGAGATGAATGAAATATTTAGTTATGGCAAGTCACTTGGCATGCTTCATAGACTATGCAAAAGCACTTGACTGTGTGAAGCATGAAGAAGTAATTAAACTATTAGAAAAATTATACATTGATGGAAAAGATCTACGAATAATAAAGAATATGTATTGGCAGCAAACAGCAACTATAAGAATTAACAACTGTTTAGGTACATTTCAAAGCATAAAAAGGGGCGTACGACAAGGATGTGTACTATCACCTGATTTGTTTTCAATATACAGTGAATGTATAACGAGAACTTTAACTGATATGCCCGGATTTGTAGTTGGTGGGCACAATATAAACAATTTACGTTATGCTGATGACACAGTCTTGATAGCAACAAGTCAGAAAGAACTACAGGAAATGATAGACATTGTGGTGTTCGTAAGTGGAAGAATGGGCCTCAGTTTGAATAACGGGAAGACAAAAAGTAATGGTGGTAGAAAAGAAACTAATTATTCCTAAATGTGTAATAAAAGTCGATGGTGTTATTTTAGGACAAGTGCAGAAATTTAACTATCTGGGCACATGGATACCACCAGATGGAAGATGCATAACTGAAATAAGAAACATAATAGGACAGGCAAAAACTGCATTTTATAAAATGAAGAATATCTTGTGCAATATATCCTTGTCATTGAGAGTTAGAAAAAGAATTCTTGCTTGCTACATACATCCAGTTTTAACATATGGCTGTGAATCCTGGACAATCGGTAGGCAGGCTAAACAGTTTCTTGAGGTCTCAGAAATGTGGTTTTACAGAAGAATGCTTAGAATACCTTGGACAGTCAAAAAGAGCAACCCAGAGGTTTTGAAAGGGACAGGAGCCTGAAGACAACTTTTCACAGACATCAGAAGTAGACAGTCATCATTTTTCCGCCATGTTATGAGAAGAGGGAAAATAGAACATGTTGTGACCACTGAAAAGATCCGTGGAAGGAGGGATAGAGGAAGACAACGAGAGAAGATTGTTGACAGTCTTATTACATGGCACGGAGGTGTGTCGGCACACGAACTGATACATGCTGCAGGAGATCGTGGATTATGGAGAAGCAGGATCGCCCACGCCAGTCGGCAAGGCACCTGATGATGACGATGAAGTCACTTGGCATACACAGATTATCATGAGCGCTTTTGCTAGTGGAGTCCCCGGGTAAGTGCCCAGCCTTAAAACGGCACTGCCTCGTACTCGAAGATCATGGTGCAGTTGTTAATGAGTGAGTGAGTGACTTTCTACTCCACCAGGACATCACACAAGCGATAAATACCCGATGACACAACGTGCCACCATGTGGATGAGGATCACCATGGAGAGGTCCCAGAAACCGCGTTCAGACATTTGGCCATTTTTATGGCCTGCCTATATTGCGGCCCCTGGCAAAAGCCAGAGTGGGGCTTCAAATAACAAAAAATTACGTCCTGAAAAGGACGTAAAGACTTGATAATATTAATAACAACATCAGTTGTTAATGAGTGAGTGACTTTCTACCCCACTAGGACATCACACAAGCGATAAACACCCGATGACACAACGTGCCACCATGTGGATGAGGATCACCGTGGAGAGGTCCCAGAAACCGCGTTCAGACATTTGGCCATTTTTATGGCCTGCCTATATTGCGGCCCCTGGCAAAAGCCAGAGTGGGGCTTCAAATATCAAAAAATTACGTACTGAAAAGGACGTAAAGACTTAATAATATCAGTTGTTAATCTGCTGCTTCCCTTTAAGTACCAGTGGTCACACGGGAGGGACGTGAACGAGTGAACACAAATTGTGGAGTGGAAATATGAGGAGAACACTCAACTTCCGGTGTAATCATGGCGGTCGTTGGTTGTTGATAATTTATTACAGGTAGTAGGTAGGAATTGGAATGCTATTTTTTATTTGCTTTTGGAGGACTCTTGACAATTAAAATTATATGGTACATTCATTTTTATCGAATCGCTATTACTAGTATTTTGGAAATCTGTCCTCATTTTCATAATAATCAATCATTCGAAAATGTGAACTCTGGCTTGCATCTCAATCTCTGTGACACTCTGACTACTCACGAGTGATTTACTTTAGTGACAGAATTACTTCGTTGTGGCTTGCAACTGAAGTTAATTTGTTGGTTTGTTTTGTAAACTGCTCTCGCTTTACTTTTTTACCAAGCTATTATTCCATCTACATAATACAGCATGTTATTTCGAAACCATAACCATAGGTGTCCCACTACAACTTCCATATGGGTGATCAGTGATCTCCGATGTCTGTGCTTTGATCATTTGCTTCTGGGATCACCAGGGATCTGCGGCAGTCTGGAGGGGGAAAAGGGATGGCAGCTATTGCACATTGCCATCCATCTCCATTAGTACCAGTCTCCTGCACAAAATCCTTAATTTGCTTATGAGTTTATCCAAAGTATAATACTTACTCTTTTTTTTTTCATTTGAGACCAACTTGCTAAGCTAAAGGGTATCCGGGTAGCAGATGGGTTGATGGGTGTGTATATTGGTCAGTGGTTAAAGAGAGAGCAGTAATCACATCAACACTATGAGAGTCATTCTAAGGGCTTCTTTTTCTTCTTCTTCTTTGTGTTCACCGGCTGTAAACTCTGGCAGGAAGTTCTTGTTGTTTGTCTACTTCTGGACTGCAGTCCCTTTTCAGAACCTGAGAGTTGCATGTGCATCTGTTTGACATATCTGACTAATTTGTGTGCAGACTGTTGGTTCCTTGCCTCTCAGGCAGATGCACTCTGACTTCAAAGGAAGCTCCCAGTTAGTCGACTCTTACGACATACTTTTGGGTAGGCAGTGGGTCTATTCTTGTTTTCCCTATAATAGGGTCCTGGAACCCACACGAGGAGCTTCTTTTCTTGATAGCTAGCCCCTTTTAGGGCTATCTAGTTCTTTTAAGGGCTACCTGGTTGCGAACTATTTAGCTGTGAATATAGCACACATAACCCAGACTATAAATATAACCTGACACTTTGGGAAGCCTGGCTACCAGTAGTAGGTTAAACATGGTCAACTGTATTTTTCTAAGGTGATGTTGGAACCGGAATCTTCTTTTCCTTCTTCTTTTTCTCCTTTTTTCCTTCGTCTTCTTCTTCTTTTTCTTCTTCTTCTTCTTCTTCTTCTTCTGCTGTCAGGCAACTCACCAAAACCTTCATATTTACAGGCATCTTAGTACAAGTTGGACTTTGCAGTGAAAATTGCTGTGGGATAAAATACAATAAAATAAATTGACTAATGCAGAAAGTAGAACTGGTCAGTTTTTTCTGTGGGGTGAGGATGGAGAGACAGGGAAGCACCAGCATGAGAGTGGACACAACATATCAAGGGCAACCTGGGCATAAAAGTTGATACAACAGGGAAAGGACCATATGGATTTTCAGTGTTGATGATGAAAGCAATGTTCTGCAAAGGCTCTCCTACATGAGCATGGGGTTGAGTAGCCACTTTAAACATTTTTTTTTGTCAGCTCTCAGAAGAATGCATCATAGGTTGCAGTTTTATTCATTGCTTTTATTAACTTTTCAAGTCCCATGGGATTTAGCTTCAGAGGCCCAAGGAATAGTCAAGAGAGATGCAAAATCAGCACATCTTGCGTTCATTGGGCCTCTGGGTAGGAATCTATGAATGTATGATGCGTTGCTTAGGAATGAAAGAGTTAAGGACCAAGAAACATATTCCCTGCATGAGTTCCAGGGCTCTATTTTGGAGAACAAAGAATCGACCCCCTGACCCCAATAAGCATGTCATAGGGGATTAATTGGTGGGGTATTTCATCCAACGCTAGAGTACATCTGCCTGAGAGACAAGGAATCAACACCTGTAAAACTGATGTGCACACAAAACTCAAGTTCTGGATTCAAGCCAGTCTAAGAATGGATGAACAAACAGAACTTCCCACCGAAGTTTTCAGCCTGTGAGTGTGTGTGTTGAGAAGCTTCCATCCAGAAAGCAATGACAAACCACTGGATGTAAATTTGCCTAAAAAACACAACAGCAAAAAAAATGCTGGGGTTGGTTCGGCAACGTCCTTTAAAAGATATGCAATTAACTATATTTATTATGTATACATATCACTTCAGTAATATATTTGAGCTGATTTATCATTATTTTGGATGAACAAAGAAGACACAAAACAGAAAGCGGGTGATCAATGTGGAAGTGTGAATAGGTCATGACTATGGAAAGAATGATGCAGTGGGGAGTGACCAGGGGATCTGGCAGACACACTAAACTCAGAGGAAAGGCAAGACATACATATAATCAGACTACTGCTGGTATAATTAGCCTTGGAACTCTTTACTGGCTGCTGAAGATAAGGACGGAGCTGTTGTGGGAATATCCTGACATGTGATTGTCACTTCTAAACTCTCAGTTTAACACGAAAACACAAACAGTAGATTGTACATTTTATTCGTATATACCTCAGTGTGTCTTGTCAGGTGCACACTACGGTAAAAATTAAATAATGTGATGCAACACAACTGAAATACAAAAGCATCCACACTCATAAGTTACTGCCTGTTTTACAAAGGAAAAAACAGTTCATGAAAATGTCTTCTTTGCTTGCATAGATCTGGACGGAAGGGATTCATTTGCCTAATTTGTTCCCCATTGTCATAGTAAATGCACCTGATGAGATGCAGCAAAATATGGCAGGCACTACATTTTACAATCTGTTCCTTGTGACTTTTGTGTGCAAATTTACAACAGGAAAACATGACTTTACTGTGATTATTTTTGTTGTTTTGTTTCTTGTTTTCGCAGAGGTACACTTTACATAAGATGATATAAATATTGGGAGAGAGCTACACAATGTCGACCAAATCGGTACTGCAGGGCTTTGTTACAGGTCTGAAACATCGCCAGGAGGATGTTCGGTTTAAGACAGCTGTGGATCTTCATCACTTTGTCGTGACAGAGCTGCGGGAGATGCCTCAAGAGGAGGTTGCCTCATTCATGGATGACTTCAACCACCACATTTTTGAGATGGTTTCCAGCTCAGATGTACATGAGAGAAAAGGAGGAGTTCTAGCAATTGGTAAGTACAAAAGGGACAAACTAGCAAGAGCTAGGCAGTGATACAAATGGGAGGACAGCATAAATAGACAAACTGCAATTTCAGAGTGTGTACAATCAGGACAAAAGATGTAACATATTGAAGTGTTGGAGCTACCCTTCATTGTGGAGATGGCACATGATTGATTGGCTGAATTGTAAAAAGGAGATCTTTTTTCATTCATGAAGCCATATCCGATATATGGGCTAACCTTTATTTCTTTTAAATCAGTTGACACTTTGCAGTTGAAAAAAAAAACTATTAGGCACTTAATGGGTCTTAGCGGAAAATAAAATTAACTTAATAGGTCTTAGGGGAAAAAATTATAAATCTAGCACTAAATTTCCAATGTGCCAGTAATGTGAAAATGATTCTTTCTAAGCGGCACTTGATAAATGATTTTAGCAGTTGGTAAATATATAATAATAATTTTCTGGGCACAGTAATTTTCAAGGCATCTGTAAAGAAGGTAGTTTTCATTACTTTTATTCTTGAAATATTGGACTTTGTCTATCTCCAAATAATAGGCACATATTATGGCGGCCAAAAACCAACACTGACATTTCTTTTGTTTGAGGTGAATTAAACATAAAGTACCAATTCAAGTTTTTAAACAAGACTAAAGTCCAGAAGTGGATGAACAACCAGAACTTTATGCTGGAGTTTACAGCCAGTTAACACTTAGAAAAAGAATGAAAAGGACAGAAGAAGAAGAAACTAAACCACAACATAACATGCCAAGGGAGAATGCAGAAGAAATAGAAAAAGCTTGAGGTTAAGACCTTTAGAATTTAGTGACTGGCAAATTTTGTTGGGAAAAGAGCCAGGGGAATACAAAGAAATAAATACCTTGTCCACATGACTTCAAATCTGAGGCTTCAGTGGTTGTAGGAGATGGCACACTTTTGACTTGCTATAGTTATTGACACAGTACATAATGATGATAGGCATCTGTTTATAACACTGGTTTTCAATTGTTCTAAAAATATTTCTGCTTCTTTCTGTGAGTGCCGATTTTTATTTTTATTTATTATATATAATATCTGTATAGCCTCAAAGGTTCTTCATTTGTTATTTTGTTTGATTGCCACAGTTAGTTTGCTGGGAGGTGATGTCGGAAACATTGGTACACGCATGAGTCGATTTGCCAACTACCTGATGAATCTGCTCCCGTCAAACTCCTATGACCTCGGAGTCATGGAAATGGCAGCCAAGGCAGTGGGTATACTAGCGCTGTCGTCAGGGACCTATGCGGCAGAGTATGTGGAGTTTGAAGTGCGCCGGGCCCTGGAGTGGTTAGTCTCTGATAGAATTGAGGGCAGACGACAGGCTGCTGTAAGTATATACTTATTTCTGCTATGAGTTAAATTGAGTTAAGAGTTGACATCACAGCACTTTAGACATACTCATAAACACTGCTTTCCTATCTTTAGCAGTCAGCAAAGAGCTCTAGTGCGGATTGTATCGGTAGTAGTGTGAGAGTGTCCGTCTTGCCTTCCCTCTTAGTTTAGAGTGTCGGCCAGATCTTGCAGCATCTATTTTCTCCAGACATTAATGATCTGCTTATACTTCTGCATCGTTCACTTGTTCCAAGGGGCCTTACTAACATCTAGCTTGTCACGTGTCAGTTCACCGCCAAGTAGTGCAGCACCAGCCAGTCTGTCAGTTCGTTTCCCAACACAGCTGCATACCCTAAAGAAAAGATACTATGAAACAAATTTGGTACAAAATAGTAGTAGAGCTAGACAGCTGAACAGTAAAAGACAACTGGGAAAGACACAATGTTTGTTTTGGTTATAAAGCCTTCATCAGTATTCAGAAGCATGGACAATGATACTGCATAAAAGACTATGACTTGGCTCAGTGGTTCACTGGTGGTAGAGGTCTCCTGACAAGTGGAGCACTGAGAACATTTTCTAGCTTGTGGCCTTGTTGAGTCTCTGATATAAAATACATATTCTTGTCTGTCGGTTTGTTTGTAAAAGATCACTTTTATTGCACATAAGTGCTTTATAAATATTCTTCTAGTCTGCTCATTAGATCACAGAAGGAGTTTCTCAGCACAAACCTTGTAGAGCTGGCAAGGATTCCAGATTGTGTATACTTGCATCACTCATGCTGTAAATAATGTTTCTGTGTATGACTAACTTTTCTAATTTGGAAATAATACTCTTATGTTGTTTGGAAATATTATATTTGGTGGGTTGGGGTGGGGGAGGGATGGATATTGACTAGTGTTTTTTTTTAAACATAAATATTGCTTTATGTTCTTTGCAAATATTCATTTGTTTGGACTCTGCGGATTGAAAAGGATAAATGGTTCACATCAATACAAGTGGACATTTTAGACACAAATACAGTATGCTATAGGTACAACATTTCTAGCCTTATCTGCTGAGAAGGACAGAGCACAGAGAGATATGTTTAATCCTCTAATTTTAATTAATAAATTTGGACATATCCATGCACTAGAGCCATAAAGAAAGATTAAAAAAAAAAAAAAAAAAAAATGTGAAGGGAATTAGCACAGAGAAAAATATAGAGAGGTATGAAGTGAGCTGCACAAGATCGAAAGAGATAGGATGAGTTAGCATGAGTTGATTGAGGAACAGAAGAAGAAATATAAAGTGTTTAATGAATATAGATGAAATGTTATTAAAAGCTAATGTCTTGTACAGGTCTTGTCTTGTCTTGTCTTGTCTTGTCCACAATTGCCTCACGGCGTAGTGGGGAGTCGCAGTTTTCTATCCTGGGCCAGGTGTGTTGCATGTGTTGTTGTTAGTCCGTGTTGCCTCAGGATCTCTGATATATTGTCTATCCATCGTACTCTCGGTCTGCCTCTTGCTCTAGGGCAGTAGTGTTGTTCGTTGTATGCTCGTAGAGGCAGTTGGTCGGTTTGCATTCGCATCAAGTGGCCAAACCACTCTATTTGTTGCTTCTTTATGTATTGCAGGCATGGTGTGGTTCCTACAATTGATCTAATGTTCTCGTTTCGAACTCTGTCTCTCCTTGTGACATTGGCAGCCTTACGTAAGCATCTCATTTCGCACGTCGTGATCTTTTTCTCCTGTGCTCTTGTTAGGGACCAGGTTTGCATGGTAGCAGAGGGTTGGTATAAATATGCAATTTATCACGTTTTAGTGCCATAGTGATGCTTGGGTGTTTTAGCAGTGGGGAGAGTTGGTAAGTTACTGCGTTCGCTTTTTGACATCTTGCCTCAAGTTCCCTATCAATTCTTCCATCATCTGTGAAGATGCTCCCCAAGTATTTAAATTGCTGCACTTGTTTGAGTTGTTCGTTGTTAACTTGAATGTTAGTAATTGTTATTTTCAGAATTTCTGTTTTGGTGAAGCTGATCTTCATGTATATTCGTTGCAGACTGTGTAAAAGCGCATTTACGTGGATTTGAAGTTCTTTTTTCGTTTTCATGAATTATGCTTTGGTCGTCTGCGAAAAGTATTTAGTTCAATTGGGGATGTACTTCTTCAGGATCGGCGTGTATGTTTTCATTATAATGATCTCTTTCAACTAACTCTGTCTCACTGCTTGGTGTAGTTAGCAGTTCGCTTATCATTACATGGTTTGCTGCTGTTGTTATTCTGTCCATGTATATATTGAATAATAGTGGTGATAGTACACAACCCTGTCTTACTCCTGTTCTTAGTATGAATTCGTCTGTCAAACCAACATTTGTTCTAACTACGCTTGAGCTTGTTTGGTACAGAGATCTGATGTTGTCTAGTAGCTGACCTTGTACTCCATAGTCGTTCAATATATTGCATAGTTTGTTCCTGTCTACCCTGTCAAAGGCTTTTTCTTGGTCAATGAATGCTATATTGAGTTGTTTGTTATATTCTATTGCCTTTTCACTAAGTTGTCTTAGGGTGAAAAGGGCGTCTGTGCAACTTTTTCCTTTCCTAAATCCAAACTGAGCTTTACTCAACTGTGTCTCTACAATATGTTTTGTTCTTGTCTCAAGTACTTTTGAATATAGCTTCCCTACGTGGCTCAATAAAGAAATTCCTCTGTATGTGTCACACTCTCTTTTGTTGCCCTTGTTTTTCCAAATTGGGACTATGATAGCTTTTTGCCAATCCTCCGGTGTTTTCCTTTCGTTCCATGCTATCCTGAATATTCTATGTAGCCATTTTGCTCCGGTTTTTCCGCACGCTTTAATTGCCTCGTTCGTTATACCGTCTATACCTGCTGATTTATTATTTGGGCTCATCTTGATAACTCTCTCAACTTCTTGAATTAGGATGCAAGGATCTTCTTGTTCTTCCTTATAGGTGGAGTAGTATTCTTTAGTTTGTGTATTTGTTGGATTGAGTAGTTCGTAGAAGTATTCCTTCCATCTTTCCTTCTTTCTGATAGGGTTAAATAACGGTGTTCCGTTTTTATCATTAATAATGTTGGTAGGGTTAAAACTTTCGTCCCTTATTCTCATAGAATGTACACTTTTGTAAAAGTCTCTAGGTCTTTCCCTTGAAATTTTCACAAGTTGTTCGCCATATTTCTGCCATGAGTCCTCTTTTGCCACTTTGATTATTTGTTTAGTGGATTTTCTTGTACAGGTTTTGGTCCTAAAAGAGCTTGCAGTGAACACGCCAACATTCTTTTATCAGCAAGTCCAGCAATTTTTCGACTCCATCTTTTTTGCAGTCAGAGACCCAAAGGTATGTACGGCTGGCAGGTTGTTCTGTTGATGTTGATAGTTTAGATTCTTTTTATACTTCGATATCCCGTGCAGTGAATACTTAAAGTACTCCCATCGCATTTTTTAGTGTGAAATGTCAGGCCTAAACCACAACATATGAGTTTGAACCGCCAGTTTATTTCCCCATTGCCTTCCCTTGTTAGACATTTACATGAAAATTGGTATCAGTTTTTGTGACTTGGCCTGAAACCAGTCATACAGTTCATTAAAGAGCTACAGGTGAGATGGTTTATTCATTTGACTAAAATGCCCTGATACCAACTGCCACAGCCATGCTGAGGTAATATAATGGACACAGCAAGAGAAGGCCCACATGCAGAATCCTTATGCTTCGTGTTAGAAAAAGCACATAGATGGTCATTACATCTGCCTTTAACACATCAGTGATGTAACCGGAGGATGAAAAGTAGACTTAGTTTTAATCAGACGGGGTGACACTAAAGCTGGACTGTTTTGGGAAAATTGAAATCAATGGAAGCAGCAGTCACAACAAACCAACAGGTGCACACACATTACTGCATAAGACATACCACCAGTTCTGTAACAGCACTCTTTTATTTCTGAACAGGTGGTTTTCACATTTTTGAATGCACAACCTTTGTTAGGCATAAACCCATGTAAGTTATAAAATCCATTTTGACGTGGACTAGAATCCATGATCTTTGTACAGGCAAGCAGTTTATGTTATCATAATTGATGTAACTGCACATTGGGCATTTCCATACATGCTCAGTCCTCTGATGCAGCAGCCACTCCGAGGTACCAGTTCTGTAGCAACCAGCCAATCACCATTTTCTGAATAGGATACTGTCCTGTTCTGTACCTACTGAAACATAGCAATTATGGGATGACTCTTTTAGGGTGAGGTTTGAAACCCTGACTGATAGCCTAACAAAGGCATGAGGAAATGTCTGGGAAAATAAAGGTGACTGCATTACTTATCGAGTCATCATCTTCGTTTCTCTTTATGCCTAGTGGCACATGAGGCTTCAGAGAGGACTTTCCGTGCCTTCCTGTCCTGTGCAATCCTCAGTTCAGTTTTCAATGTCAGAGATGCAGCACTCATTTCAATTTCCATCGTTCATCTCCATGTTGTTTTTGGACGCCCCTTCCTTCTCTTTCCCTCTGGTAGCCATGTGAAAGCTGTTTTGGCAGGTATATCAGGATTAATTAATATAAAATGGCCAAGCTATTTCCATCTTCTCTTGGTTATCACACTGTCTAGCGTTTCTTGGTTTGTGACTTGAAGTAGTTTATTTAGTGTTTGAGATTGTATCTGGCCAGAATAGTTTGATGATTCTACATAAACATGTGTGGTGGAAGGTGGATAGCTTGTGAGCATCCTTTTTGGTCATTCTCAATCATTCTGTTCCATAAAGAAAAACTGGCAAAATAATGCTCTTGTAAAGTCTGAGTTCTGTTCCTGTGCAGTAACTGTTGGATTGCTGGATTTGCCTCATCCTTCCAAAAGTGGCTCTAGCTTTGTTGAAGCGTGATTGTATGTCTTCCTCTGTCCCTGTGGATCTAGCACCATTTGACTTATGCACCTTCTAAAGCAGGCAGGCAGTTGTGTCACCTGTGCACTACTGTAGCTTCCATGGTAAATTATTTTCTATTATGTACTTTTTTTTTTTTATCCTTTGAAAACTAGCCATCAATTCGGGAAGGAGCTGTGGCTGCATTAAGAGCTGCTCTTGCAGTTACATCCCAAAGAGAAACCAAGGCTTCACAGAGACAAGTCTATAAGGTATTGTATTCTCTTCAGTAACCGATATGCATCATAATCAGGGCTTTTTTCCTAGAAAAAAGAAATGCCGGTACACACCACAAAGTGTCTAATAAAAGATGGCAGTACTCACCACAAAGTGTCTAATAAAATGTGGCAGTACTCACCACAAAGTGTCTAATAAAAGGTGGCAGTACTCACCACAAAGTGTCTAATAAAAGGTGGCAGTACTCACCACAAAGTGTCTAATAAAATGTGGCAGTACTCACCACAAAGTGTCTAATAAAATGTGGCAGTACACGCCACAAAGTGTCTAATAAAAGTGGCAGTACTCACCACAAAGTGTCTAATAAAATGTGGCAGTACTCACCACAAAGTGTCTAATAAAATGTGGCAGTACTCACCACAAAGTGTCTAATAAAAGGTGGCAGTACACGCCACAAAGTGTCTAATAGAGGTGGCATTACTCACCACAAAGTGTCTAATAAAATGTGGCAGTACACGCCACAAAGTGTCTAATAAAGGTGGCAGTACTCACCACAAAGTGTCTAATAAAATGTGGCAGTACTCACCACAAAGTGTCTAATAAAATGTGGCAGTACTCACCACAAAGTGTCTAATAAAATGTGGCAGTACTCACCACAAAGTGTCTAATAAAAGGTGGCAGTACACGCCACAAAGTGTCTAATAGAGGTGGCAGTACTCACCACAAAGTGTCTAATAAAATGTGGCAGTACTCACCACAAAGTGTCTAAAAAAAGGTGGCAGTACACGCCACAAAGTGTCTAATAAAGGTGGCAGTACTCACTACAAAGTGTCTAATAAAATGTGGCAGTACTCACCACAAAGTGTCTAATAAAATGTGGCAGTACTCACCACAAAGTGTCTAATAAAAGGTGGCAGTACATGCCACAAAGTGTCTAATAAAGGTGGCAGTACTCACCACAAAGTGTCTAATAAAAGGTGGCAGTACTCACCACAAAGTGTCTAATAAAATGTGGCAGTACTTACCACAAAGTGTCTAATAAAAGGTAGCAGTACTCACCACAAAGTGTCTAATAAAAGGAGGCAGTACTCAACACAAAGTGTCTAAATAAAGGTGGCAGTACTCACCACAAAGTGTCTAATAAAATGTGGCAGTACTTACCACAAAGTGTCTATTACAGTAGTGCTAAAAAAAAGGAACACCTTTAGAAAGATAGCTGTACTGCATGCTGTGGACCTAACAGAAAACAAAGCCTGGAACATCATCATCTTCATCAAGTGCCTTGCTGACACACCTGGGTGATCATGCCTTTCCACAACTTTTGATATCCAGCAGCATGTGTTAGTTCATTTGCTGGCAAAAAGCTGTCAAAAATCTTCTCATGTTGTCTTCCTCTATCTCTTTCCATAAATCTTTCTAGTCATCACAAGTTCCAGTTTCTTTCTTCCTATAACGTGGCTAAAAAATTCTATTTATTTTCCATATTTGTGATAAGCTGTCCTTAGGCTCTCACCTCTTTCAAAAGTTCGGGATTACTCATTCCGGCTGCCCAAGGAACTGTAAGGATTCTTTTGTAAAAACATATCTCTGAGGCCTCATGAAACTGTTTGGCCATATGTTTTAACTGGCTCTACATGGCTTGTAAGTATTCCTTTTCTAACCTCCCTTGCATAAGAGTTTCTTCATGTTATCAAATGCAGTTTTTGCTTGTCCTATTCTCTTGTCAGTTGTTTTGTGTTTAAGGTGTTAAATAAAATCTTTTAGTTAGTGTATACTCAAAGAGGTTATATCTTAGAAACAGCCTAATGTCAGACATCATTTTTCATTATTTAATATAACCCAACTGTTGAACCGGGTATCTGGTAATTGCGCTCGGGTGATTCTTATCTAAATGGTGGTACTTTGTGTCATCGGTTGTTAAAAGCTTGTTGTGTGGTCCTGGTGGGGTTAACTTCATTTATAAAAAAGGCTGGAGTGTGAGAATAGGAAATTTAATTACCAAATTATATGTTAGTCAAGATTGATGTGTTTGTTTCCCTTCCACAGCAATGCTTTGATGAATCCTTACAACCCTTTGATGAGACATTAGGCAGAGAGAAGAAAATGACCCGCGATGACTGGATCCATGGATCACTGCTGATAATTAATGAGCTTCTCCGATGCAGCAACAATGAAGCAGAGGTTGGTGCAGCCGCCATATCCAGAAAATAGAATATATTAACTGTTTAATTCACCTAGTCAGCACAACAAAATAGTATTAAAAATGTTAGCTCCTGCTCTACTGCAGGGGCAGTTTCTGAAAATTAATCAGCAGGTCTATTCTTTTTTTCTCTCATAATGAGGCCCTGAGACCCACTTGGGGAACCATGGAAGCTACAGTAGCGCAAAGGTGACACAACTGCCTGCCTGTCTCAGAAGGTGCATAAGTCAAATGGTGCTAGATCCACATTTTCACATTTTGATAAGACCAGGACTTGATAGGTAGGGACAGAGGAAGACATACAATCACGCTTCAACAAAGCTAGAGCCACTTTTAGAAGGATGAGGTGCTAAGGGACCTTACAATTGTTAAATGCATTTACTAACACCTAAGCCAAAGTTTACTTAACACTTTTGTTGTTGTTGAATGGAACAGAATTTTATGATATCGTTTTATATTAGGAGCATTCATTTGAAACCTGTTCATGCCATACCATGCATAATTGTGCATTTAACATGATCATGCCATGGACATGAGATAAGTACTGACCTGAATGACAGCGCATGGGTCAAGTACATATTGTTGCAGTAGATGAAAAAACACAAATTGATGTAATTTCTATAGCCAAAGAATTCAGAATGTCAGTTGGGACTGTACAAAATATTGTTCATAAGAAGCTGCCATATCGGAAGGTGTGTTTACACTGATGCAAACATAAACACTTGGTTAGGTAAGCACACATTTTTTTTTGCGGACAGCATTTGCTGCCTAGGTAAGCAGTGAGATGCATGCCTGAATGCCTGCATCAACTTTTTCTGACCATCCTGTAGTGCAGCATTAATTCAGTTTAAAGGCTTTGTTTAATTCTGCCAAATTTTTTTTCATGCTTTTGTAATAAAGCCATATGAACGGGTTTCAAATGAACACTCTTTACATTATCTGGATTTTGTTGTTGTTGTGTAACTTACAAACTTGTTTATTTATCTGATACAGCGTCTGAGAATGGAGATTGAAGAAATCACTTCTGAGCAGGCAAATTATGATAAAACTTCTAAGGTTAGTGCAGCATTTATAGTTCAGTATGTTTTGTTTGTTCATGTAGTCATGTGTCTCCACTGTGGTACAGTGGCTGAGGCTTGACAAGCCGTCTGAAGGTCTTGACCTCTAGCTCTGTGTCTAAAGTACAGGGCTGTCAGTAGTGCACTATCAGGTGCTGGTCTTGGTATGTGCTATGCTGGTATTAACAGCTATTCCTTGCATGGTCGACGTCTAGATCTGCTTTCATTATGTCTGACTGGGCTCTCTATGGTGCACTGTCTGGTGCTTATCTTAACACATGTTCAGAACATTTGATCTATTGTCTCTTGATGATGTAGTTTAATATTGGTTCTGTACAGCTTCTTTCTTGGAATCATATTTTGATCCTGTCTCTTCTGATTAACTTTATGATTTTTTCATAGACATTTCATTTCTGTTGTTTTGATTTTTCTTTTAGGGCTTCCAACCTATAATGAGTACCAAACAAGTGAGTGGGAAATAATGGTGGCCATTCATTCAGCGCTAAATGGTGTACAAAGTGGGTCTGACATTATAAGGTCGATGTTTCCTGGCATGAAAATGGTCATTGACTGTTTGTAAAATGTATCTAAAATGATGTATACTTGAATAGCAAGATTTTTTTGGTTTCCATTTTCCACCCTTAAATCTAGAAGGTGAACACCATACACCTAATATAAATGCAGCTTGATACAGTATGACCAGAATATCCTTGTCCTGGAACCCCCATGGTCAAAGTAGCAGAGAGACTAAACTGACATATAGGTAACATGAGAGTTAAGTGGACATAAATGAGGACATGGTGTGAGTTGCAGGCAGTAGAAAGGTATATGTTGACTCAGTGTGGTTTGGTTTTTCTTGGGAAATTGAAGGAAAAATAAAAAATAAAAATCACACTAGCCTAAAATGGGTACCAGGTAAAGACTTGGGAAGTTTGAGTTAAAAACCTTCACCATAGCACTTGGGACTTTCCCCAAAAGTGCTTCATCCTTATCTCCTGCATCAAGTACATTGGAACCACTCTTAACGAGCATAATTCGTTCCAGAATTATACTTGTTAAGCGAAACAATTTTTCTCATATAAATTTATGTAAAATACTATAATGCGTTCCATGTCGAAAAAATACTCACAGAATGCTATGTATAACGTTATTCAAAGAAAATTATATACATATTGTTAAGGAGGGTGAATCTTCTTCATCTTTTCTTCAAACGCGGAACAAACCCACCTGGAATGCTAATTCAATTTGCAGAAAAAAAGTCGAAATAATTATGATACATAGCTAATTATTTTTTTACTAGAAAGATGTCCAGAAATATTAGTTTTTTGCCGATGCTTAAAAATTTGACGAAAATGCGACACAGCATTATCATTAAATAAATTTGCAGCGCGCATATCCAGTTCCTTATCGGGGTAATGCTTCTCAATGTAAGATGCAACAGTTTCCCATGCTTTCAGCATTTCTCGTATTTTGCCAGAAGAATGTTGCTTTTCTGTTACCTCCTCCTCCTCTGACAAACTTTCCTCGAAAACTTCTTGCTGTGCAACTCCATAAGCTCTTTGGTGATCAGCTCTTGGCTGTGCTCTTCCACAAGCTCTTCTATATCACTGTAATCCATCTACAATCCCATGATAGTGGCCAAAGACACAATCTTGTTGACTACACATTCCAGATGTACTGTCTCGAACCCCTCAAAGTCGACAAAGCTCTCTGGCCAAAGCTTCTTCCAAGCAGAAGTTAGGGTTCTCTTGGTAAGCCCTTCCCCCACCTTGTTGATCATCTTGAGGCAGGCAATGATAAGTGATTTTTCCAAAACTCTTTGAGAGTGAGGTTGGTCCCTTCAGTCACCTGAAAACAATGCTCGAACAGTGTTTTAGTGTAGAGCTTCTTAAAGTTATAAATAACTTGCTGGTCCACGGGCTGGAGTAACAGAGTGGTGTTGGGAGGCAGAAACTGGATCTTGATGAACTGAAATTCTTCACAGAGGTCATCTTGTAGGCCTGGAGGGTTCATGTACGTATATCACAATATAGCACAAGTTTGAGAAAATGTGTGATCACAAGCGACACTACAATGCTACTGGAACAAGTGCTAAACACAGACTGATGTAACATGCGCACAATCCGGAACTTCCCCTCTCCTCACCACTCGTTATGTGAAACGTCGCTTGTTAAGCAAGTCATTCTTTTACCATTTGTTTTTCTTGTTATGCTATTTACTCGTTATAAGAGGTGCTCGTTAAGCGAGGTTCTACTGTACTCTGAAGTAATGGCACATGACCCCTCGGGTGCTGATTGATCTATTTAAAAAAATGGCCCGTCAAATTCTGCATGACTGATGTATCACTGATGTGAACAGGGTACTTGTCTTTTTTAATATTGTGAATAGGGCACTGTTTTTTTTTTTTTAAATAAAAAAAAAAATATACCTCAAGAGTAGCAAGGTTTTATTAGTTTCCTTTTGTCTGCCTTTTATCTAATGATCTCTTTGTATATGTTATGTTTTGTTTCTTTTCTTTGTTCTGCTGATGAAGGCTAATTGCTGCAACAGCCTGTGCTTGTCTATTGTAAATGTTGATTGTTGAATTAAGATTTAACATCATAGCATTCATCATAAGCACTTCCTCCCAATCTTCAGCAGCAAGCAAATAGTTCCAGTTCTGATGGTACCAATAATTGTCTGATTATACACCTGTCTCACCTTTCCCTTGAGTGTTGGGTATCGGCCAGATCTTCTGGTAACTCCTCACAGCGCTATTCTCCTCAGACCGTAATGGTTGATGTGAGCCTCCACACTGTTCATGCATTCCCAAAGGGTCCTCACAACATCTAGCTTGTCATACATCAGTTCACCACCAAGTGGTGCAAAATTGGCTAGTCTATCTGCCTGCTTGTTTCCTAACACACCAGCATCATCTGGAGAAAATATCCAAAGAACGCTAATTACCGGGGACCTCTGAAGCAATGTTGCCACTCTGCACGGAGCATGCCTGTCTCAGCCTTTCTCAACATGCGGTGTGAGTCAGTTGCAGTTACAACATGTGTACAGCTGCTTCCACCTCCTCCTCCCCCACTCTTTGCCTACCCTTTCATCTAGGATATAAGCAGCATGTGCTGAATGCACCATTGTCAGGATGATCCCTGCTTGGTTCCGACGTAGGTTATGAACACAAATATAACCGAAGACTGATGGCAGCTTCGGCTAAACGTGGCCAAGTTTGTGTGTGTGTGTAAAACAGAATTGGAATCGGAACATGGGTTATGTTGTAACCGTTGAGTCCCCAGTATAACCTTAAGCTTGAGTGTGACTGACTTGGATTTGTACATGTAGGATTATAATCCTTTAGGTGTTAATCCTGTGGACTACAATACTGGATAGGACAAGCTATAACAACTGTTGTTATTACAAAATTCCCTTTTTTATTTTTTAAAATTTATTCTATTTATCTAAATATATATGCACATGTTATTGGTTGCTGTTTGTCCCCTCTTTCATCTAGGATGTGACAAGCAGGTCCAGGGGTAATGGAGGAGTGTCTGCACTGCAGCAGATTCAACAGAAGTCATCTCCACTGTATGCTTTCTTCCCAGGGGCCAAGGACTCCCCACAGAAAATTCCGGTTCCTCTGATTGAAAGCAAGACTTGTAAAGATCTGATGAATGGGAATTTTGACAGGGTAATTTTATTTTACTGAAATACTATGTAAAATATTTGTCAGTTGACTTATGGTACATCTGCCTGAAAGCCGAGAAAGAAACCAGCAGGCAAGGTCTGCAAAGGAGGAAAAATGCAACAGCTAACTGTTGTCAGAAGCAAAACATGCCATGACTTGCAAAACAGTAAACCTGCTTGTCCGTTATATTGACAGCATATTAGAGACAGAAAAGAGGCAGGCAAAGGTTTAGAGAAAAGATGATGAGACAGTTTGACATTGTGACATCAAAGAAATTTTTTTTTAAACGTCAAAAAATGATTGGCTGTATATAAAAGAGAGGAATGGCCTGACATGACAAGCAAGGTCATGGACTATAAGAAATAGAAAATAATACAAGATAACACAAAATAATAACAAGGGTCCTTATCCATAAAGGATTGCAGATTACATCTGGCTGGAGTAGCCATTATAGGTGTCCTGATTATAACTTCTTTAGAGGTTGAACGGGTTATCTGGGATCTGCCTTGAAGGTCTGCCCTCCAGATTAAAATTTATCGAAATATAAAAATGGCATAGTAAATCTTTAGGTAGAAGTCTGGAGGGGACAAACTAGTTGATCGATCAAACCATGAAAAATAATTGAAGAGACCTTGGTTTCGGCAGGCAGACAAAAAAGTGTACTTATTAAAAATCAGTAGCCAAGACCTTTCCTATTTGCCTTACAGTCCTAACGTCTGGGTCGGCTCTGTGGCTAACCAATATGACCTGGGATGCTAAATATAGCTTACCTGCAAATACTCATCCCAGTACTATAATAATGGCAGCATTAGTGAATATAACTAAACAGACGTCGTTAATTTGTACCTTTGAGTAAGCTGTTAACAGGAATTTCCCATCTGCACCATCACCTACACCATTATTTAGACCTACTATCTCGTGATTAGGACAATGTTAATATGTCATGCCATAGACCAGAGCTATTCAACTAGTGGCTCATGGGCCAAATCTGTCTCCCCTGGTGGTCTAGCATGTGACCCGTGGATCATTGCCAGATGTATTATCTTTCTTTCTGCGCTGCGGCTTAATCTCTGGCCCGTTATCATCCCCGTTTTTCAAAATGTGGGCCCCTGAGTATACATAGTTGAATAGCCCTGCGATAGATGCTAGTCCGATAGAATCGCCTTCTGCAATTGTGTGTTTACGAATAGGCCACTGGTACTGTCATAATAATGATGCAAGTGTAGGACCAGTCTATTCCCCAAGTGTGAGGGTGGCAATCCATGGTACACCACTGCCATTTTGTGAGTGTTGGGCCACAGAAATCACAGCCTAGCTGTAAACCACAACACAGCCTGCCAGTCACTCCTTTAAGGGTGGACACAGAAGAGGATAAAAAATTCACTTAGTAATTAATCATTCTTAGCTGATTATTTTCATGTTTTGCATTAACCAGTATGTCAATTCAAAAGTTTTTTTTTTTTAAATTGTCCACAGATCTGCAACTTGATGTTGGCACACCGAACCAGTCGTAGCCCTTACGTCCAACAGACTTTACTCATATGTCTCCCGAGGCTTGCTGCTTTTAATCCTCCAGTTTTCTCTAGAATGTAGGTATCAGACCATGATTATCTGGCATTGTGGGGTTTTGTTGCTTTGTAGACCGCATTGCCAGGCATTTTGTGCATTTTAATTCTGTTAAGAATTTCCTCACTGCCTTTGAATTATTAGTGAATCACAACTAAATAGACGTGTGTCTAATCACCTTATGGATTTTCCTCCTTTTTAGATGTCTGTGAAGTCTTCTGTATTTTGTGATGAATCATGATTTAGTAAAAGAGATATGTGTCTAGTTAACAGAATGCAGCTTTAGATGCCATGAAATCCCGTTGATTTGTTAGTCAGTCTTAACCATAATACCCCGAGAACTCTAAAAAATAGGTCATCACCCAGTTAGGTTTCACGTAAAAAATCCATAACAACAAAAATGTTTTACACAGGTCACTAATAAATTTGTTAAAAATGTATTTTGCTAGAGACAAAAATCATCATTATCAACATAATACTTGGAGTGGACATTACAGTAAACTTAATTATAACTTCTTTGAAGGTTGAATGGGGTATCTGGGATTTGTTGTATTGGTTTTGCTTTACACAGGATGCCACTTTTAAACTGTAAAAAAAAAAAAAAAAAAAAAAAACATGACCCTTTTAGGATTTCAATAAAAAATCTGACAAAATTGTTTTACACAGGTCACTAATAAATTCATTACAAATGTATTTATCGTCCTTTTACAATTATTTTCCAAAATGTATAAAGATTTATGAAGGGAGTAATCAGTAAACACGAACAGAGTGAAGCACTAAATTGAATACATCTTCCTGTGGCCTAAAAAGCACGTGTTGGGTGACTGATCCATTGACCCCATGACCTTTACCACTGACGCTTTTGAAAAATCTGACATCATCTTGACTTTAAAATAACTATTTAAATTTTACAAAGGAAAACCCATCTGAATGCTATTGTCAGTTAATTTATTCAACACCTGACCTCCTAAACATTTACACCGGTGTGAACTCAGCCAGTTGCATTAATTATACATCCTGTAACCAGGTCACCTTTGGCAAGTTGATAAAGTGACATTTACGGTGAACTGGAGCTGGATGTGTCGGTTTTTCTTCTTGGGGCAAAAGGGTTAAATGGCGAAATAGTTGAAAAATTATAAAATCAGATTAGAAGTAGAAATAATCATCGTCCCAGTGCCACAGTCTGTTGTTTTTGTTTAATTCAAATAAGGTTCAGTTTGTTGAAAGCATGGTAGCAGAGTTTAGCAAGCTTGTCTGATGGTCTAATTGTTATAGTGTAGGTTGGTTAAAGACCCCTGAGAGATGCTCCATTGACAGATAAAAGGAGGAGGAGGAAGGAAGAGGAAAACAACAGCATCAGCAACAGTGGCAGCAACAACAAGAACACCAACAATGACAGTAACAACAACAGTAATGACGAAAGGGTTAAATAGCGAAATAGTTGAAAAATTATAAAATCAGATTAGAAGTAGAAATAATTATCGTCCCAGTGCCACAGTCTGTTGTTTTTGTTTAATTCAAATAAGGTTCAGTTTGTTGAAAGCATGGTAGCAGAGTTTAGCAAGCTTGCCTGATGGTCTAATTGTTATAGTGTAGGTTGGTTAAAGACCACTGAGAGATGCTCCATTGACAGATAAAAGGAGGAGGAGGAAGGAAGAGGAAAACAACAGCATCAGCAACAGTGGCAGCAACAACAAGAACACCAACAATGACAGTAACAACAACAGTAATGACGATGACAACAACAATAGCAGTGACAACGGTAAGGACAACAATGACAGCAGCAGTAACAACAGTAGTAGTAACAGCAGTAACAACAGTAGTAACAGCAGCTATAGTAGTAACAACAACAATGACAACAGCAGCAGGAGCAGTGGTAACAATTACAACAGTGACAACCACAGTATCAGTAGTGGTAACAGTAACAACAAGGACAACAGCACTTACAGTGGTAATGACAACAATGGTAACAATAACAGCAGTGGTAATAGTAAGGACAACAATGGTAATAGCTGTAACAACCACAATGACAAGCCATTTTATTTAACTATATTTTTTGTTAGAGTTTGAAAAATTGTAGTGTACATATATTTACTGCAGTTAACATTACCAAAATTAACATTAGCTTCCTGAATTTAACATTATCTTGTGCTCTTTGCTTCTGATAAAAGAAAAGTCCGGTATGTATTTCTTCCCTTGTTTGCTTGGAAACCAGTGTCTTTTTTTTGGGGTACAAATTTGTGTCATCAACTTCATTTTAATTGAACTGGCATCGTCTGCTTCAACATTTATACACTAGGCTGCTTGATGCCACAAGTTGTGGACAGTTTTCAGCAACTGTATTTCAATGTGGGCATAGAAGACATTTTTGTTACTAAAATTAGTTGTGCTAGTATCAGCAGGAAAGAAAATAATTGAATTGTAACTAGTTAGAATTGTTACAGAATTCAAATAGGTACAGTAAGGAGCCATTGAAATGTAGTTGGGGGTTGTAGTCCTAGGGGGGTTTAGCATCAGAGGCCCAAGGGGGTAGTAAAGAGAGACATATAGTTGGCGTATCTTGTGTTCATTGGGCTTCTAGGTAGGATCCTATGAACGCACAATGCGCTCCTTGAGACTGAAAAAGTTAAGGTTGCAGGAGTGGTAGGACCTTCGGATAACCTGCAGATCTTTGCTGTAAAGGGAAAATTCAGATTGACAAGATTAACTCATTCGATACCAAGGAATGCATCCTGAGTTGATTTAAAAAAATTAATTTTACTGTCCGCTGGTATTAAAAGAGTTAATGGAATGCTCTGCTTGCATGTCACTGTTTTGTTCCTGCAAGTCCCTGAAATGTTTGTGTTAGTACATAACATTGATTAGTATGGGCAAATTCCAGACAGCTTGTCCATTAGATATATTGTTTTATCTCAGCAAATCCAGAGTCATAGTCTAGTTGTTGTTTGTCTTTCTTTCACAGTGTGAGTGTGGTTAAGTTGACTCATGACAGTTTCACATCCACTTTTCAAAATGTTATGTTCTTTTGGTGCTACCTGTGTGTAAATCTCCAGATAGATTGTCTGGTCACCTTGCATTCACATCATATCATTACCATGTTCTATCTATACTAACATAAAACCTGGATTTTTAGCGGTCCCAACCCATTGTCCGATGCCAACCCATGCTATTCCTTGTACCGCATAACATCATTTGGTTGGAGGTTGTGTTCTTAATCACCCTTGTCCTTTGCCTCTCTATCCATTCTAGTTACCCTGCCCGCTTTTGGTTTGCCATATGTCTAGTTAGTATGTCTTTACTCTTCAGGCCATTTTAGCCCCATCATGACCAAATGCTAGTTGATAATACCTGGTGACATTGGATGTGGTGCATATAAACCGTATATTCTATTCTGTGTGCTAATAATACTAGTCAGTCAATGGGGAGGGGATAACAATTATTGCCATTTCAACTACAGGTTGTTCCACCAGGAACATTCGAGGCTAGGGGGCTGTGATTGGAGAAAATCGACCGATTGGGGGGGGGGGGGGGGGGGAGGGGGGGGGGGTTGTTCAGTTCCTGAAATTGAGGTTTCTAGACAAAATAATGTTTATGAATTTTTTTATTATCAAGAGTTTTATTGCCTTTAATTCATCTCCACACATTCAACTGTCATTCATTTGTAATTTATCCAAAAAAAAAAAAAAAAAATTTCTATCTAATCATTTATCTCTGTCTAGCATCTGTTTAAAGACATGACAGGATGGCAGCCAGGGCATTATTTATGCCCCTGATATGGACTAATTCAAAGCTGTAGTTCTGCAGTAGCAGACTTCATCTTTACATACGATGATTCTTTGGTGTTCCTTATATAAAGACTGTCAGTGATTTGTTGTCTGTCTTGACTATAAACTTTCTGCCCAACAAATACTTTGCAAATTTCGTAACCCACACCACAAGAGAAAGTGTCAAGTTCCACTGATTTGTATTTCATAATTTATGCAAAGCTTCAGTCAGTATCTATATCCCTGTTGCGCCACTCATGAGAATACTATTAATATCCCAGTTTTTGCCTGTTTATTTGTAAGGATAATATTTGTATCCCAGTTTTGTCTAATTAACTGTAAAGTCATTTATAACTGAGTCTTATATCCATAAGCCGGTTTTTGATTTGATTTGATTCAAGAACTGACATCACAGCACTCGGGGCATTCCCATAAGCGCCCCGTTCCCATCTTCAGCAGCCAGCGAAGATACTAATGGTGCCAGTAGCATTCTGATTAAACGTCCGTCTTGCCTTTCCTTTGAGCCTTGAGCATCTGCCAGAACCTCTCGTCACTCCCCGCTGCATCAATCTCACCAGACTGGTGATCCATCTGCTCCTCCAAACTGTACACGCTCTCCCACAAGGCACTAACCATGTCTGCCTTATCATGAATCAGTATTCCACCAAGTTGTGCAGAGCCAGCCAGTCTGTCCGCCTGTTCATTTCCCAACACACCGGCGTACCCGGTGAAAAAGTCCAGACAATACTCCTCACCCGTGTATCCATAAGCCGGTAAAAATATATATTAACCTTGTATGTCATCAAGTACCTGTGAACATGTTTATATCCTAGTCTGTATACCTATGACATTGATATTTATATCTGTGTTTTTTTTCATTTGTTTATCTGTAACAGTAATATCATATAGTCTGTGTGCCTGTTTGGATAAAATCTGAATCCCAACTCTGTCACCTGAGTATATGTAAAGTTAAAAATTATATTCGTTGTGTTTCCCATGTGCCTATACAAATATTGATATCAAAGTCTGTTTGCTGTGAGATTAATAACTATATACCATTTGTGTCATCTGTTCATTCATTCACTGTTCTGTTGGGCTATTATATGTCACATAGTCTGTTAATCCACTTTGTTCTGTCATGTGCAGTAACTTTGATAGCATAGATAGAATCTAGTCCCATACCTTTGGCTTCTCTTATCAGTGTTTGGACATCCTCGTTTTCTCATTCCCTTATTTTCTCATTTATGTGCCTAATTGGC